ATCTCTAGGTGTACCATAGCACAAAAGATGAGGAAAAACATATCAGGTTTTTCCTGTTGTGCCCTAAAAATCCAGAAATGATTCCTAAATTTTCTGATATATAGTAAGGCAAAATTGTATTCTATACTCAAATCAGCTTCATCTAGAACTACACCAGAGGCCCCAAACTACATAAAAGATTGAGCATGGAATGGAGTTGTTCTATACCGGGTTCTTCACAACCTTGGCCATCTTGCGGAATCCCTTGCGCATGACAAATTTGTCATAGAGGCTAGCAGCAAGGAGCTTAGATTTGTGGGGTCTGTATTAGCACAAATCACAATAAAATGGAATCACAAAAATATGGTGTGTGCTTGTACAAATCACAATTAACAAACTACAATTTATCCTATACAAACACAAAGACAAATATTGAAATGTGTCAGCATAAATCACAAGTAACATTTTTTTTCTATAGGAAGACAAGGACAAAAATGTGGAGTGTGTTTGCACAAATCACAATAAACAAAGGACAAGGTGTGTTTGCACAAATCACAACAAATAATTTTTTCTATGAAAAGACAAGGACAAAAATCTAGTGTGTGCTAGCACAAATCACAATATACAAAGGACAAGGTGTGTTAGCACAAATCACAACAAACATTTTTTTTCTATGAAAGGACAAGGACAAAAATGTGGTTTGTGCTGCCATAAATCACAATAAACAAAGGACAAATATCTGAATTGCAAATGGTCCAAACGTTATGCGCAAAGATTAAGAATCATGAGAGCCAAGATCAGGAGCTTAGCGGTGCATAGTTTACCAGAGGGGGCCACAAGGTGCTGGGATATCCATAGCTGTGAATCCGCTGATGCACTGGGTAGCTTGTCCTTCACCTACCTTCAGAATGTACTGCATAACAAAAGAGAAAGAGAGTCAATTTCAGATGCTGCAACAAGAATACCAAATGGGGGTGGTTGGGCTAATAAGGATCAAGAGCTCAGAGTGTGATAACGGAGAAGGGATCACACCTGCTTTGGTTTCAGCTTCAACTTCTTGCCTCCAATAGTGAACACAATGTTAGGCATGGATCCAAAGACTGGCACAGACCATGGCTGATTCTCCCATGGCACTAGATAGACGCTCACAAAGTTGTCATAATGAAACAATTAAGCAGAGTAGAGTACTAAGTGTACAAAAACGCCCTGCACTAAATGTCAGTTAAGCACACCTGATTAGTGTAGTTCAGGATGAGCTCCTGTGTCTTGTTCTTTGCAAGTTGGTTCTGCATCCATACCACAGCCATCTCATAGGCATTGCATATTGGATCATAGCCTAGGTGAACAGGAAGGGGAATATGAAGCTTAAGTCATAGCCCCTTTTGACACCTGAGAAGGTGAGCTCCAGAACAGAAGTGGCTGCGAGCATGGTAGCTTGCAGAACCTCTGTGCCTGTTGACAAAATACACATGTTCAAACATTTATACATAAAAAGAACACAAATTAAAAGTTAAATAGGCAAAGAGTGTACATAGCTACAATTGCGGTGCCCGATAGTTGCAATTTCCATTATTGCTGATTGCAATTATGTAATTCAAGGCTTTATTTGTTTGGTTTTCATCAAGAGCAGATATTAATAGGAACATCAATGGGCAGATAGCAGAAACTGACATGAGCAAAAGCAAAAGCACAAGACATGACTAAACAAAGGGAGTGTGTGCACAGAAATGAAACAGCAGCATTGTATTACTATAATCCGTCCACCAAATACAACAACAACAACCAATCCTTTAAGTCCCAAACAAGTTGGGGATACAAATTAAAATAGTTCCTGCATCCAGTAGCTCAGGGTGCATCCGAGCAAAGTACACTGTTACAAGCGGCACAAAAATAGCTACTTAACATGCACTAGCATTGTTGTTACAAGTGGAGCTTGCTATATATGAACTACTAGTAGTGTACATGCTCTTTCACTCTGCTTGGTGGATTAAAGTGCGAATCGTAAAGAGCTAAGCAAGAAATAGCAGATCCTAGAGGCATATATGTCACAAAAGCAATAAACCAACAAGTTTATTCTCATATATGCCACATTGTTCATAGAAACATATTATCTAAACAAAAGAATGCAGATCCTAGAGACATATGCCACATTAACAAGATATACTAAAATTAGGGCGCGTTTAGTTCGTGCCTCACTGCGCCGCAATTTTCGCATGCGTTTGCTTCGCTGCCGTGGTTGCGGCATGCCGCAGCCTCGCCATGGTCCTCTAGTTTATTTCCGGCACCACACCTTGCCAAAAGCTCGGCGAGCAAAACGGCCGCCGCAGCTTTGGCGCCGCCTCTGCAGGGGCTCGGCGTGCTTAGGTGCAGGCCAAACACGCCCTTACATCACCAAGTACAAAAATTTACAGTGCATACTACGGTGTAAACTTAGTGATGGTAATATATAAATGTTGGCCTAAGCAAAAGGTAATCTTTTGCATAGATATGAACTTATCCTTTAATCATTTGTATATCGGGCTTGGGTGTACCTCAGTTGCATTTAGATCATCACCCTACCAGTAAAGTATACTGAGGTGTTGAGCCCCCTGGAAACAATTCATGCAAAAAAAAAATGTTAATGGAAAAGGACAACTGGATGAAAAATCTTACAAATACAACTGTAAAAAAATTAAGGAAAAATTGTTCACTGACAAACAGAAGAGTGAAAAAAGAAAAAAAAGGTGCAGTAGCACAACTGATAGGCCGGAAAGGAAAAAACGATTAGCTTTAGGAAGCCCCAAAATAGAATAAAGTCCTAGTAAAAAGGGCAAAAAAAGAGTTGTTCTGTGCTTCGACACAGAAATACTCTAGTACAAGAAAAGGGTCTAAATAAACAAAGTCTACTAGGAAACATCTAGTTATAATTCAGTAGGACACATTCACCATCATAAGATCCAATTCTCAGAAGTGCTAAATGATTCACCACATCTCCCAACCAAGCTAATTGGAGCAGACCATCTACAAATTTAGAAGGTTAAGGCACTAAAACACAATCCACAACTAGCTAGAACTAGCCATCCCAGATACATTGACAACCAGATAACCAACTATCCAGCTACCATCTCGATAATATTGGGATCCAAAGCTCACCCTGCCTCAACAGAATATACAGGCAATAGAACGTACAGCCTACAGTTGATCAAACCTACCTCGCTGGAAAAAGGTGCCTTCCAATTTCAATGCACAATAAACTAAATTTAACCTATCTGGCTATCTCGCTGAAAAAGGTTGCCAGCTGTTGCCTAATAAAACAAAGAGCATCCAGCCAACACTTGAATTGAAAACGCATATCCATACCACGAAAGCGAGCAAACGAGGAGAAACATAGAAATTCAAAAACTCCTATGTCACGAATGGAACAACCAGAGCGACAAGCAAGTTCCGAATTAACTAATGAAACATCGTTACACACCGCACCCAATGATTTGTTGCTCCAATTTAAACTACTAAACTGCTATCTCCGCTGGCCTGCTCAAATCCCATAGCAACTTGGACATCACCAGAAGCTCAGAAGTTAGAAACATAATCCCAAGCCGTTGCCAAGCAACCCAACAGCTCATATGAGAGCTAGAGCACAATACATCGAAATAGAGCTCCAGAGAAACCAAATTCCTAAGACCAAGCAAATCAAATCCCAGATTCCCAGTACAAGCAATTGGAGCTCCATAGAAGCAAATTTCCTCAGAACAAGCAAGCAACCAAATCGCCCAAACCCGAGGACAACACCACCCCAGAGGTCCTCAAACCAACCCACCTCCTGATATTCCCAGTGACCTCCAATTGGAATTGGATTAGATTTACCTGCTCCTGTGCCTGCGCGAATGAAAGATGCAAGCGATGGACGGATGTCCCAAATGGCAGATGCGTCACCATTCCAGCTCTGTGGCATCAACTCCTAATTCGGCCGACACCAGACAGGGCAACTACCCAGCAGCAACGACATTGGAATACCAGGACAGGGCATTGACAAGCCTATAATGCAGATCCCTAATCTAACAGACATCAACAAGGACAGAAACCAAAGCAGCAAATCGAACACAAATCCGACCTCCACATCAATGCGAAATGCCTGCTCGAACCCTAGGGCAGACAAGGATGCCTGAAATTCCATCCATCCCCAACACATAAGACAACAGATCCAAGCAATAAAATGTAACCTGACCTCTAGCCGTCCCATCGGCCTTAGCCCGCGGAGGCACGGACAACAGGCCTCGTGATCGGTGGGCAGCCGCGGCCGCATGGTGTGGAACTGAATGCGACTAATCGGTGGGCGGACGCATGGGTGCCGCGTGCGACAGCGATGGCGCGTGCGCATCCTGCCATCCTGGGTGCCTAGGCGGAACGAAGAGGGTTGGGATGAGAAATAACACGAGAGCGAACCCTAACAACGAAGATTTCCAGGAATCGAAGCAAGAAAAATCAACGAACCATGCAAGCTTTTAGAATCGCCTGTCGCCAGTACCAGTGGAGAGCAGCTCTCAGGGAAGAAGACGAGGGGGAAATGAAACAATCACAAAAAATAGGAATGACCCCAATTACGAAATAGTAGTCCTGAGAGTGGGCCCTGCACATCATAGACACAAAGCAATGAGACAGATCAGACGGACAAGTCTTGATCCAGCGGCCCCAAAATCGAGTGTCGCACGGCGCCAAAACAACCAGGTGTAGCATAGCATTTGTCTAAAAAAAATCCCAACCTGGCCAAAGCTCACTCGAGCGTCTGAACCAAATTCCATCGTAAACGCGTTAGCTAGCTGGAGGGTTTATTACTGTTACCGTGTGAAAATGAAAACCAGGGGGCAAAAATGGTCAAACCTTGTGCACTGCTGCATATATATATATCTAAGTTTTGCTGCTCAGGAGCTAAACACCCGCGCTTAACCTAGAAAACAGAACCAAAGAAGAAACCTGTCCCTGAAACGACGCAGTATCGTTACATCTACGTACACGCCTGTGCCTGTCCCATCGTTCGATCAACCATGGAGCTTAGTACATTGGTAGTAGCGAAGAACAAGAAGAACCGTGCCCGCCACCCCGCGGTGGTTCTTGTCCTGCTCGCCTGCGCCTGCGCCGGCGGCATTGCGCCCGCGAGCGGCGCCGGCGGCGGGAGGTGGGACCTCCTGCAGCGCAGCATCGGGGTGTCGGCGATGCACATGCAGCTGCTGCACAACGATCGCGTCATCATCTTCGACCGCACCGACTTCGGCCGCTCCAACCTCTCCCTCCCCGATGGCCGCTGCCGCGTCAACCCGCGGGAGCGCGTGCTCCCTCGAGGGGACTGCACCGCGCACTCCGCCGAATACGACGTGGCCGCCAACGCGTTCCGCCCGCTCTCCATCTGTACCGACACCTGGTGCTCCTCGGGCACCGTCACGCCCGACGGCACGCTCGTCCAGACTGGCTACTGGAACGACGGGTTCCGCAACGCGCGCACCATGCCCGCGTGCGGCGGCACCGGGGACGACAAGAGCTGCGACTGGTCTGAGAAGCAGGACGCGCTCGCCGCCAACCGGTGGTACGCCACCAACCAGATCCTCCCCGACGGCCGCACGTTCATCTTCGGTGGCCGGAGGCAGTTCAGCTACGAGTTCTACCCGAAGGCCGGCCCTTCGGATACGTCCGTCGTCCAAATGCCATTTTTGGTGCAGACCAAGGATCCCGAGGAGAACCATCTTTATCCGTTCGTACACCTCAACATAGATGGTAACCTTTTCATCTTCTCCAACAACCGCGCCGTCCTCCTGGACTACAAGAGTAACAGGATCGTGCGGACGTACCCCGTGCTGGGCGACGGCGACCCGCGGAACTACCCCAGCTCGGGCTCCTCGGTGCTGCTCCCGCTGAAACCCAACCCCACCGAGGCCGAGGTGCTGGTCTGCGGCGGCGCGGCAGCGGGCTCCTACAACGCCACCAAGGGCGGCGCTGGCACCTTCGTCCCAGCGCTAACGACGTGCGGGCGGATCAAGATCACCGACGCCGCGCCGGCGTGCACTACCGGAAACGTCAAATTTGCCGAACGTTTTTATGAGTGTATTCTCTCGGACACTCAACAAATAAGTTCTTTGCCGAGTGATGCGCTAAAAATACTCGGCAAAAAAAAAAACACTCGGTAAAGAGGAGGTTCGCCGAGTGTAAAAAAAACACTCGGCAAAGATGGAGTTTGCCGAGTGTTTTTTTTATACTCGGTAAAGAAGTAAAATATTTTTTTCTGGGAAAGAAGGAGAAGAAAAAAATGAAAAAAAAACTTTACTGAGTGACTAGATATAGAACACTCGACCAAGAAAAAAAAACTTTTTCTGAAAAAAAAGGAGAAGTGCCGAGTGTCCAGATCTAGGACACTCGGCAAACACTGCTTTACCAAGTGCTAAATCTAGGACACTCGGCAAAGCTCCAGCACTATAACTCACGCACCCCGGAAGTCTCCGCTGTTACGTCTCTGTTGCCCGCCTCTCCACTCCACCCTCCCCTAGTCCATTCCAAGTCCCCGACCGACCACCACCACCACCACGCCAGCCAGCCCCACCACTCCATCCGAGTCTTCGACTCCAAGTTGTCCTCCGGGATTCTTAAATCGAAGCTGTGATTTTCGTTCACCATGTTTCTATTTTTTCTCCTTTTTCGTTCTTGAGTTTGATCTCAATTTCTTGGAGTTTGAGTCAATCACATGCAATGATTTTTGGAAAATAGGTTCGTGCTAGGTTGAATTGCATCTGTGCAAAATTTGGGAGCATGTCATGGAGTTTTAGTTTGGTTTTCGTCAGATTTTTTGTTGCTCCTTTTTCTTCTGTTCATTCTTGCTTCTTCTCTGTTAGTGTGTTCGTGACTGTATCGAGCAGGAGCAGCTGTCCAGCAGCCCAGCGGCAGGACTACCAGCGCTAAGTGCTCAGGCACCAAGCGAGTTCACTTGAGCGGTTCTTGCTGTTTACCGCGTGTTACACTCGGTAAAGACTTTGCCAAGTGTTTTTTGGTCTTTGCCGAGTGCCTGTCGCACATGGCAAAGTTACTGTTTCCGGTAGTGGTGGGTCATCGAGACAATGCCGTTGCCGTGGGTGATGGGTGACATGATCCTGCTGCCCAACGGCGCAGAGGTGGTGATCATCAATGGCGCCGCGGACGGCACCGCCGGGTGGGAGTCCGACAAGACCCCGTCGTACGCGCCCGTCGTCTACCGTCCCGACCACTCGCCGGGGGACCGGTTCGAGGAGCAGACCGCGACGGGCGTTGTAACACACTTGGTGTTAAACTTGCATTTAGCCTTGGCATTACATGAGCACAAGCATCATTGATCATTCATGAGCATGAGTATTTCAAATATTATCTCTATGTTTGCTTATATTGCATGTGTTGTCACTAAAATGCGTTACATATGCTAGGGTTTACATGTAACCAATGTATAAAATGTTTGTGGAACCTTAGGAGTACCTCAAACATGTTTAGAATATCACATGGAACAACTTTGATATTCATAACTAAGGCTAGTTTGGTCTCTAAGTCATAGTTATAGTGTAAGTCACCATTTTCAAGTTGTATGTTTGACCTAAGTTGAGCTATGTCATAGAGTGTTTGCATGGCAGTGCACCCTTCAACAAAGTTATAGTACTTGATTAGAGTAACAGCTTTTATTTTTGGGTTATGAGCTAATTCAGTGCCTAGCTTGGTCATTTAGAACTCACAAAAATCAACAAAACACTATTTTTCCACACTTAGAAATATTTCTAAGTCTAACTGATTCACAGTTTCTATGTCGCTGACTTTATGATGATGCAACTTGCTAACCTTTGCAAATTAGACCTAGATCACTTAAGCAAAGTTGGAGCTGGTATGTAGCTCTACAAATTTTGTTTTAGCGTCGTGGACTAATTCGCCGTGGTTTAGGAGCATGGAAGGGTTGATTAGGCGCTGTCAGACGAACGTTTGGCGCTCTGATGGCCAACTCGGCCTGGCCATCGTGGCCGACCGTGGGCAGGGCTTGTCCGCCGCGTGGCCGCCGCTGGCTGGCGTTGGGCCCCCGTCGCAGTAGGTTGGCGTGCGATAAGGGCGACGTCGTGCTGCTCAGTTCGCTTTCTCATTCACACTCTCGCCCTCTCTGCTGCTCCCTCTCGCGCGCGCAGCGGAACTGCTCTCGCCGACGCCCCACCGCGCTGCTCCGCCTTCGCCTAACTCCCGCGTCGCAGCACCATTGCTGCCTCCAGCTAGCCTGTAGCTTCGCCTTCTTCCTCTCTACCTCCTCGATGCAGTAGCAGGGCCAGGCAAGCCACGATGAGGGCAAAATCGCCGTTTTTGACCTCGCCGGAATCACGGCTTCCATGGCTGCCATCACGGCGAGCTCGTCGCTGCTCGGCTCTCTTGCCCCTTCTTCCAACTTCTGGTGTGGCCTAGCTTATGGTGTGATGCTACGGCGAATCGTTGCCTCGTCAGCGTGGAACACGACGGCCCGCGCCGCTACGCTCTCGCCGCCTGTCGATGCGGGACCCACAGGATACCCCACAAGAGAGAGAGAAGATCTAGTTCAACTAGGATTCTTCCCATGTAACCTTAGTAATAGAACTATTAAGTAATCCTACTAGGAAATCTCATTGTAAATCGACTAGGACTCTGGCCTCCTGACTATATAAAGGAGGGCAGGGCTCCTGAAAGAGTAAGAACAATTGTACAACATAACACTTCATAATCAATCCAACGCAAAAGGCAAACGCCGATCGGGCGTAGGAATCGTTACTCGATCTACGATCGAGGGCCCCGAAACCAGATAAATCGATCGTCTCTTGCGTTTACCATCGAAGTTCAACATCGCATACCGAAGCCCAAAACGATCATCGCCACGGTACCCCTGTGGCAGGCTATCGGTGGTAAAACATCGACAACTGGCTCGCCAGGTAGGGGATTTTGGTGACTTTGCATCCGAGACCTCGATGGACCTCAATAACATGATCTTCCCGATGGGATCGATTTTCATCTTCGGCTCGTGGATCTGCGAGGCGGACAACTACTGACAAGCTTCAAAGCCATCTCCTCAAAGATCCGGATCATCATGAAGAATCCTCTATTTTGACAACTCTGACGGATCAGCTCACCGAAAGATTCGCAAGACCCATAATACCCGATTCGAATAAGATTCCACGGCTACACGCATCCGACTCAATTCAAGCTCCGTGATCCGAGATGAAGTCCTATTCGAGTGCTTTCAAGAAGTCGAGTTCCTTTTTGGCAAGATTCCAGAGCACAACCCAAAACAACTCGGATTACCCTCAGAATTCTTTCAAAAGGCCGAGTTCTTTTCCATTTGGGCTCGACAACACGACAAAATCCTATCGTGGATGCAGTTTGAAAGGTCTTTCAAATCAACACTTGGGATACCAGCGACAGGAGCTCAGGAGGGTCTCGTACTAACGATAACATCGCAAGACTATATCATCCACTGGCCAGGATCCGTTCCTGAGGATAGCGGAACCCAACTAGTCGGCACAACAACAACAACTATTCTACCTTACCAAGAGGGAGGCTCAATCTACGACGCCGAGGCGATCATCAAGTCATCAAAGAAACTCCGACAAAGATGAAAACTAACAACAATAACGGAACGGCTCACGCACGGGAAGTGCTCATGGTTCGACGTCCTCGGTCACCATTAAACCCCCCCAAGCACCCGATGTCGGTCATCGATGAATCGAATCCAACATATCACCCTTTGCTTAGGGCTACGATGGAGAAACCAAGAGTCGAGACAAAGCTAGAGAAAGGAAAAACAAGTTGAAACAAGGGCGCCAACACCGCGCTCGACAAATGAGAGAGAAGCTGGACCAGATCTGAGTCGAATTGGTGAATACGACAAAAGAAAATCCACAACAAGAGGTCAAGAGAGACGCACAAAGAGTACGCCTTACGATAAGATTTGAGAAGCATTAGAAGAACTCAGGCAAACTCACATCACGGGAGAAGTACGAACAGCTCCGGGACTTGCTCCGGCCAACGATCCCAAGAACGCATGAAGAGAGAACCCGATCAAGACTACCCGCCAGATCAACAACCCGCAGCAAGAAGATCAAAATCAAAGGAAGTCCGCTTTTGAAAGACTTGGACCAAAGTGGAAGCCATAACGGAGAAAGTAGGAGGGAACATAGTCGGGGCCATCAATTTGAACAACCAAGGAAGACCAGGAGTAGAGGGCCTACCTGCATACACCTCGCAGAATTATTCCCATCAAAACAACACTTGGCCGTAAGAAGGAGCCAATCCGAATTCAAGGAAGCCGAACGCATGATAGATTCCCCTGCTTTGCAAACAGGTTGGCATCGATCTGATTACCTCACAAATTCAAACCGCCTAATCACTCCAAGTATGATGGCAAAACCGAACCAAGACAATGGCTCGAATATATTCACAATCAATTGAACTAGCCGGAGAGACGATGATATCAAAACCTTGTTCTTTCCCATGGCACCGGAAGCGATGCCCTCCAATGGTTCGATAAATTGAATCCGAGGATCGATCGAACTTGGGAAGACTTGCAAAGAGCTTTCAGAAAATTTCACGGTATCATCACACACCCAATCACTCATGCCAAACCGAAAGGACTCAAGCAAAAGGGGGCGAAAAGTCTCGAAAATTACTATCGACGATTCGGTGAATCACGGGCTCAAGTACATGACATCACCGAATCGAGAAGTAATTGAAGCTTTCTCTCACTAATCATGGCTAGGTGGCAATTTCAAGACTTTTGCAAAGAAAATCCGAGAAACAATGAAGAATTCAGACTAACAATGAGAAAAAATGATTACTTTGAGAAGAAAAAACACGAGAAAGATTCCTGATAGAAGCAACCAAGATAACCCTTGATAGGCAAAATCATCGAAATAGCGTACATCAAGAAAGAAAGCGTAGACCGGACAATACCGTGGCAATGGCCGACAAATCAAAGAAGTTTTCCAAACCCGAAGATATGATGACATTGAAAACATCGTTGCCGTTACACCCTAACGGGAGACACACCATCGGAAACTGCTACACTTTCAATGATCGATACACGAGAAAAGATAGTAAGGAGAACACCAAAGAGGACAATCACAAGAAAGATGAAGACAACCACGAGGACAAGGGATTTCAAAAACCTAGGGGAATGGTAGCAGTGATCTTCTCAGGGGCCCCAGATTGCACAAGCAAACGTCAAGAAAAACTAGCACTACGGACTATCATGACGGCCGAACCGGCTACACCAAGATATCTCAATTGGTCACAATATCCAATCCAATTTTCAAGAGAAGACCAATGGACTAGCGTAGGGAACGCATGCCATTACCCACTAGTCTTAGACCCAACTATTGCCGGTATGACTGTCACCAAAGTACTAATTGATGGGGGAGCTGGACTCAACATCATCTTTTCAGAAACACTAAGGAAGATGGGACTACAACTCGCTGGGATGATTACACCAACAAGCACTCCCTTTTACGGAATAGTACCCGGCAAAGCAGCCATGCCACTCGGACAAGTTACTTTACCCGTCACTTTTGGAACTCCTGCGAACTATCGAACAGAGTTTATCAAATTTGAGGTCGCAGACTTCGATTTGTCATATCATGCGATCCTCGGACGCCCAGCACTGGCAAAATTCATGGCAATACCACATTATCCGTACTTATTGCTTAAGATGCCAGGATCCAACGGTATCCTTTCTCTTCGAAGCAATTTGAAGCGTGCTTTTGATCATGCGACATTCGTGCAATCCAAATTATGGCAAAAGCATGTAGCGACAATGGGAGAAAACAAATAGCCACAATTGCTCATGGAGATAAGCCAAGAAGAATTAGAAATACCGGCTAAAAAAGCCCAAAGATCATCACACCACCAAAAGAAGCCGACGTCAAGCAAATCGATTTGGG